GTAGTTTTTTCGTGGGTAAAAGGTCACTGTGGAATAGATGCCAGTGAAAAAGTTGATAAACTAGCCAAAAATGCTATGGACTTAGATACCATAACACAATACCTTTGTACAGCGGACGACATTAAAGCCGTTATGGCTAAACTATATAAAACAGAATGGATTAATAAACATAGAAATCATACAAAGGGTCAATATTACAAAAATATTCAACCAAATATTTTAGACAAGCCTTGGTTTTCTAAAATCACAGTCACAAAAGCAATGGTAAAATCTATATTATGTAGATTAAGATTTAACCATTCCCTTGTACCGTCTCATTTGAACAAAATTAATATGAACGATAACTCAAATTGTTCCTGTGGGGAGTTTGGCGATACACAACATATAATTCTAGGCTGTATAAATTTTACAAACGAAATAAATGTATTTTTAGATAAATTGTTAAAAATTCCAGGCATCCATCAACCTATTAATTTAAGCTATTTAATTTCAATCAACGATAATTCCGATCTATACCAACTGTTGTACGCGCATTTGTTAAATATTAATGTTAAATTGTAAATGTAAAATTATATTATGAATCCTTTGTATTTTACCTTTGTTCAAACCCTTCAAACTTACCGTGGTCGTCCATGTTATTGTACAAATCGTCTAGAGAGACCGTTAGGCGTAAAATGTGTCCCTGTTTATATTTCCTCTGGGGAGAAAAAAAAAAAACCAAAAAAAACAGAAAAAACAAAAAACAAAAACAAAAAAAAAAAACAAAAAAAAACAAAAAAAAACAAAAAAAAAAATCAAACAAAAAAAATGGAATTTAAAAAATATGATTTAAAAAAAAAATTGGAAAAAAAATATAATTTACTTATATTACAAATTTTAGTTAGTAGGAATTACACAAAAATAAAACATTGTAAAATCAAAATAAGGAATAAAAACGATTAAGATAGGCGAATGGATGTAAAATCCGCAGTCATAGAACCACAAACAAGCAAGCAATGTTTTTAAAACCAAACTTTTTAAATATTTAGCTAAAAATGCGTTTTATTCTGTAGAAGAATTCCTGCAGATTTCTTAATCATTTTAATTTAATTTTAGATTTATATATAAATATTTTTTATTCTTATTATAGTAATTTTAGATATATGTTGTAAATGGAAGTGCTATATATTGTATTGTTCTATTTCTTTTTCTTTTGACAAGTTTCCTAAATGTACATTTTATTGTGTATTCAAACATATGTATCTGTACATTTGATAGATGAATAAAGGATTTATTTATTTATTTACCTTGCCAAAGTCCTTTGAAAGTTTGATTATATTGAAAAATACTTCCTCCATGCATTCTACCCCACTCTTCAACGACTAACTCTATCGTTGCATTTTTAATAGCATCGGTATTAATAATCAAACTAGAATCTTTAACTCTCCAGTATCCAAAATTATCCAAATCTCTAGAAGATTCCAGTTTAGGTGATACCAGTTTACCATTTACTAAAACCATAATTGTATCACAAACGTGCCCTTCAATTTTTAAAGTAGTCTGCGCTTCCAAGTCTACATTTTCTTTACGATAAACGATATATCCATAGCTCTGTCCAGATTTGTTGTTAATGTCCAATAATTCCATTGCCAGTACATTTGTGCTTAACAGAACGTGAGGCGGTTGATGCGTAAGTAAATCACTAAGATTTATTTGTTGGGTAATTTTGATTTTTGGATAAGCGACTCTTGGTAAGATTGTCGGTGGGTCTGGTAAATACGTTTTTATAGGATTATATTGGTGTATGAGATCTTTGACATCCCAATATTTTTGAGTGTAGTCTCCAGCTTCGTTTAGTGGCGAGTCGTAGTCGTAACTTGTTGTAGTTGGTAGAAAGGCTGAGTTGTCTAATAATTCATTATCTAAAAAATAATTAGGTCAGTGAGGTAATGAATAATGAATATTTTAAGTAACTGTTAATTTCAAGGTATACAGTTCATCAAATTTCTAGAGGTGTTCGACGCCCAGACAGAGAACGCGCTACGTGTGACTAAGATAGCTATTGTACAGTCTGCTAAACAAGTTATTTTAAATAGTTTTTAATATTTTTAGGTAATTAAATTTTAAAAGTGTGGAATAGTTTAGGGATTAAATTGGTCTGATTGGACTTTCTTAGAACGTTTTTAAAAGCAGCTAAAGATAGTATGTAGAATTGAAAATAATTATTATGCCATAAAAGGTGTTTTGGAATTCCTTCAACCTTTTGAAATTGAGTCAGAAAATATAAATTTTATAGGATAGCGGAAAATACCTATAATTTGTTTGTAGGCCTTTGTAAATCGTGGAAATAGTTTATATTTTATTTCTACCTTATTAAGGAAAATGGTACCTATTATTAATAACGGTTGTTTCTGAAACATTACTAAAATTTTCGAAATTTTGTTTTTCTACAAAATAATAAACTATATTATTTAGAAAAAAATTTATTTCTCTTATAAATTTATAAAAAATAACAGGGGTGGTTGAATGTGTTTCAACCTAAATTGTAGTTTCGAATGGACTGTATATTGAAAAAGGGAGAAATAATATTGTACTTTGTATTTGATGTTTATTTGACAAAAGGTAATAAATTGTATATCAATGACAATCTCTATGTTCAGTGGCGGAACAAGTATATGGGTAAAAGGAACACAACAAATCTGCAACATACTGCCCGCCTTGAAAGAATTAACTTTCAATACTTCAAAATAACAAAAAACATTTGAAGAGTTACAAAAGAAAACAAAATAATACATTATTTTACATAAAGTGTCTTGAGATATAAAAGCGTTAAATATTTTAATAACAAAAATATTAAGAAGGGTCGATAGGCAATAGACACACTTTGTTAACTGCACGTTTGTAAAGTCCATCTGCAGTTTTAACTGAAACGACTCGAACTATCTTGTCAGTGCCTGGATGCAAATCTACAATTCTACCCATTTTCCAATGGAGAGGAGGGAGATTATCTTCCTTTACGAGAACAAGTTGATTTCGTTGAAGATTTGGCTTTTGGGATTTCCACTTGGATCGATTTTGAAGATGAGTGAGATATTCAGAAGACCATCTTCTCCACAGATGTTGGTAGAGATATTGGATGTGGTTCCAGCGATCTAAACGATTGATTGGGACATCTTTGTAATTGGGCTCTGGACTGCTTGTAAGAATCTCCCCAATTAGGAAATGTGCTGGAGTAAGAACTTGAAAATCGGTAGGGTTCTCGGACAAAGGAGTGAGTGGCCTGGAGTTTAAGATCCCTTCTGATTGAATTAAAAATGTAAGGTACTCTTCGTAAGTAAAAACTGCATTTGCTGTGATTCGTCTTAAATGGTGCTTTAATGACTTTACGGTCGCCTCCCACAATCCCCCAAACGTTGGGGATCTTGGTGGAATAAAGTGCCAAGTTATGGTGTTATTTGATGAATAGTCTGTAATTTTATTCCAATGTTGTTCTGAAGACAGAAGACTTAGTTCTTTTAACGTTCTATTAGCCTTGACGAAGTTGGTAGCATTGTCAGAAAAAATGTCTGTGCATTTTCCACGCCGAGCCATAAAACGTTTTAGAGATGACAAAAATGCTTCAGTTGTTAGGCCAGAAACAAGTTCCATGTGAACTGCCTTGGTAGATAGGCAAACAAATATTACTATATAGCACAAGTATGTATTAACTCTTCCACGTCTACGACTTTCTCGAATTGAAACTGGACCTGCATAATCAATGCCTACCTTTAAAAATGGACGATATTGGTTGACTCTGTATTGGGGTAAATCTCCCATTACTGGAACTTGCGTAATTGGCTTTAATCTTGAACAGATCAGACATTTGTGTATAACTTTTCGTATGGCATTTCTTGCTGAAAGAGGCCAATATTTTGATCTAAGTGATGCAAGTACTGTTTGATGACCAGCATGTAATAAGGAAATATGTTCATTACGAATTATTAATTCTGTTAATTTGTGAGATGATGGAAGGAGAATAGGATGTTTTTGATTAAATGGAATTGTTGCATTTTTTAATCGTCCTCCAACTCTAATTATATCATGATTATCTAAAAAGCAGGATAATGGTAATAATTTACTTTTAACGTGTAATGGTTTCTTTTTCTGTAAAGACTTAAGTTCTTCTGGAAACGACTGTGCTTGAGTGATTTTTATCAATGTCATAAGAGAATTGTGAAGTTCAGTTGCGCTTAGGTGACCCTTGTGTTTACTTTTAAAACGCAACAAATATGCGGTGACACGTTTAAGTTTGCTTAGTGTAGAATACTTCTCAAAAATATTAAATTTTGTAATTTCCAAATCAGTTGTTAGATGAGAAAGGACTTTGATTGTTCTCTTTTCTTTTTTGGTTTCTATTGAATGGGCCTTACCTTTTGGCCAATATAAAGCATCCTGCTGCAACCAAGGAGGACCGTACCACCACAATGTGTGTTTGAGAAATTGTTCTGGTAATGATCCTCTTGAAATAGCATCTGCAGAATTTTCTTTGCTGCTTACATGTGACCAGTCGTAAATGTTTGTGTTAGTTTGAATTTCTGCCACCCTGTTTGCCACGAAAGTTTTCCATGTTTGTGGCGTAGCTGCTATCCAACTAAGAACTATGGTAGAATCTGTCCAATAATGAAATGAATTAATCTTAAATTTTATACACTTTTTCAGTTTAACAACTAACTGTGACAGTAAAACTGCTGCACATAACTCGAGCCTAGGCAACGAAATCGACTTAATTGGGGCGACTCGCCCTTTTGAACATAAAAGTTGCGCAGAATGTTGATTTCCCTGTAAATTTGTACTTCTTAAATAAATACAGGCTCCGTATGCTCGTTCACTAGCATCACAAAAACCATGAATTTGCAATTCTGTGCATTCTGACCAACCTGTGATTCTTCTAGGTATTGTGAGATTGTTTAAACTATTTAACTGTCTTGATAGAATATACCACTGATGATATTCTTCCTGTGGAAGATTTTCATCCCAGTCTATTTTTAAACTCCAAAGTTTCTGAAGAATAAGTTTGGCAATGGTAACCACAGGTCCTAAAAGTCCTAATGGGTCATATATCTGTGATATATTTGAAAGTATAATTCTTTTTGTATATATTTTATCAGGGTCATGATTAATGTAGAACTTAAAATTATCTTTATTTGAGTCCCAAATCATTCCAAGAACTTTAGAATTTTCCAATTTATCTTGTGGCATTATATATTTATCAATGGTGGAGTGTATACAAGAAAATATGTTTGGATGACTGGATCGCCACTTTCTTAATTCAAAACAAGAACTGTTTAAAATGTGAATGATTTCTTTGTAGAGAGTTGTTGCATCTTCTTCATTAGGTGCACCAGTTAACAAATCATCTACATAAAAATCATCTTTTATTGAATTTGATGCATTTGGAAAATTTGTCTGATGTTCCAATGATAACTGTTTTAAACACCTAGTGGCGAGAAACGGAGCAGATGTGGTTCCGTAAGTGACAGTATTTAGCATGTAGGTCTGGATTGGCTTATCAACATTGTCTCTCCATAGTATTTTCTGGAAATGTCTATCTTTTTCATGTACATTCACTTGTCTATACATCTTTGCGACATCTGCAGTAAATGCCACATTATGAAAGCGAAAACATGTAATAATTTCAAAAATTTCTCTTTGTACTACTGGACCTTTCATTAAAATATCATTTAATGAAATTCCAGAGGCTGTGGGAGCAGAAGCGTCTAGAACAACTCTCAGTTTTGTAGTAAGACTATCCATCTTATATACTGCATGATGTGGCATGTAATATCCCTGATTATCGTCATTAGTTACCAAAGACATGTGGCCTAATTCAAGATATTCCTTCATGAACTTGGAATATTCTGTTTTAAATTCAAGATTGTTTTTAAACCTTTTTTCTAAATTATAATATCTTTTTAACGCCATTTCTTTTGAGTGTGACAAATAATTTACATTATCTTTGAATGGAAGTCTTACTACGAACCTGCCATGTTGATTGCGCGAAAAATTGTGTTGAAAATGAAGTTCACATTCATTTTCTTCTTTTGTCATTGGACTTTTTTGAAAAACTTCTTCTAACTCCCAAAATTTTCGTAGGTAATTATTTAATTGCTCATCGGTAATTAAATTACATTGTGAGGTTTTGACAGATTGATTGGAATTAAGCCTTCCGGCTACTACCCAACCTAATTTTGTATTTTGAATTGATGGTCCATTTTTATGTAATTTAATGTAACCACTTAATAAAAGATCTAAATACATTTCAGCACCAATCAACATATCAATTTTGTGTGATATGTTAAACTGTGGATCTGCTAAGTTCAGATTTTGTGGCATTTTAAAATGAAGTACATTTACACTAACAACAGGTAAACATTCTGTAATTTTTGGCAGAACTAGAAAGTTGAGCCTAGTTGTAAATGAATTGAAGAGAGAAGACACGGTGATTTTTACTGACTTGGAAGTATGAGTGATTGAATTATTGACTCCTTTAATTGTCATCTTTTCTAATTTCGGGATTAATTTTAACAGAGTGCACATTTCTTGTGTGACGAAATTACACTGAGATCCAGAATCCAATAACACTCTACATTTGACAGTGACGCCATTTTCATTAGAAACATTTACAAGTGCAGTGCCCAATAAAATTTGTGATGAGCCGAAATTTGACACGAACTCATTTAACTGGGAATGTAATGTATGAGAAGTTTGAGGCAAGCTATTATTATTTGCAAGTTGTGAATGTTCTAAAGGAATGGCTGAATCTTCTGTCTGAACAACCTCTTGACATGTGTGAGTTATTGTTTGAGACTTATTTTCATCAAAGTAGTTGTCTATATGTAACAAACTGTTGTGTTTTTTATTACATTTTTTACATGAACCAGAC